CGAGTGTCCTTCGGCTGTGGCGCCGCTGACGCCTCCCTCGCCATTCCTCTTTCGCGTCCGTCCGTCGGGCCAGTTCAGGTGCGGGATCCCCTCGAGTGCCGCCCTGCTGCTCCCCACCCCGTCTTTTTCCTTTACTTTCTGGGGTGTTTTCTCAAATCTCTTCTCTTCCATCGAGCTCATCGGTTCCGCTGTGACTCTCATTTTTAAATTTAGGCTTTTTTTTTTTTTTGTCCTCCGAATGTGCCTTTTGGATGGCGCCCTGTTTCCGTTCCCGGGTGTGACGTCACGTGTCTCCGAGGACATTGATGACATATCAGTATCCTCTTGTTGTCGATAAAGTTATTAAAGCTTTGTTTCTTTTCCTTGAACAGCTTCCTTTCCTCCAAATTGCATTTTTTTCCACGCTGCTTGTTTGGGTCTCCACCTCCCATGTTAAGAGGCTGTTCGTTCACAGGTGTCTGGTAGCCCTTGGATGTCAACTCGCGGCTGAACGGGGGGCCGCAGAGCTCGTTAGAAGTTCAGGAGCAGAGCTTGGGCACCATACGCTTCATTATGGGATGACCTGGGCTGCTGCTTCGAGCATCTCCTGATGCCGGAATTCTTAGCCCTCTCCCCCTGGGATGCATCGGGCCCCACAGGAGGGCGAGTCTGATCGCTGGAGTCCTGGGAGCTGGAAGGGGAAGGACGCAAAGCGTCACTTAACCTGTCACCCCGATTTTGGCAAGGTCCCCGAGCCCTCAACTGTGCCGGCTTCCTCAGTTCACAGACCCTCTGCAAACCTTCTTCGGAGAATAAACTTCTATTCTTCTTCCAAGATGGGGGTGTCGTCCCAGTGGAGGGGGGCTTGGGAAAGGGGTTGGGGGCTTCGCCCGCATCCGAAGAGCTTTCGCCTAGTGCTCCTCGTTGCGGCGGCCTCTTTGCCCCAGTTCCAGAGGGAACTCGGGGAGATTTCTCCGTGTAAATAAGCTCTCCCCCCGCCCCCGGCTTTCTCGGTGGCCGCCAATGGCGCCCAGCTTCTTGAGTCATTCTGCTAAGTCAGAGTTTGTCCCCCTTCTGAAATGTGGTGGCCGCAGTTCAGCTGCCTTTGTCCTTCCCTGCGTCCTTGTGGGTTTGCGTCTCTCAAATCGCTTTACTGTAGCTTTGGTCAGGTTTCCTGGGAAGAAAGGCCGAGCTGGATGACGATGGTCGATCAGCTGTCCCCAGAGCCCATTCTGCTTCTTTCCCAGTCAACACTGTCTTCCGTTTTCATCGCCTGGTCTTCCCGATCGTTCTCAAAGGAGACTTTTCTTCCCCAAAGTGTGCTCCGTGAAATGTTGGTGGGTGAGCCAAGAACAGCAGGTGCTCTGGGGTTGAATGAGTTTGGGGTGGTTCGGGATTTTCCGGGGAGGCTGCGATCAGTCCCAAAGCCCGCACCTCCATAGCCCGGGTGCCTTCAAAGCCACTGTGCTTCTGGCCTCGCAGGTGTCCTGTCCGAGGGCTGCTGGCCTCCCCTCCGGGTCCCCCTCCCCACTGGCCCCCCGCGGGTTCTCTGGCGCCTCTGTGTCTCCACTGCTTGCCCCCAACCCTCTCGATGTCCGGCGTCTGTTATTGTCAAGTCCCTCTGAAGCCCCAGACTCTGGGCCCAGGCTTTTCTCAGTGTAGCGAGATTCCTTTTCTACTTTAATGTATTTTAAAAAGTGAGGTGTCATTTGTGTATTGTACAAGGCATGAATTGTGAAGTGTATACCTCCATGTGTATAGCCACATAACCGCCCGTCAAGCAAGAGATCAAGTCATAGAATTTTCTAGCACCTTAGGGCTCCCTTGAGGTCCTCCCAGCCACGGACACCCCTGCCCTCCACCTCAGGTCACCCCGTCCTGATTTCTATCACCGTAGATTAGTTTGGCCTGTTTCTGAATACGATATGAGAGAGACGCATGGCGTGCGCTTTTTAAAACATTTTTATGTCTGGCTTTTTCCTCTCGGTGCGATGTCCGTCCGATGCATTCACATTCTCCCGCGTCACCACCGTCCATGCACCACCGTTCATTCCTTCGTGTTGCCAAGAAGTGTCCCCTCGGACGGATGCGCCCGTCCGTTCGTCCGTTCCGCTGTGCAGGGACATCTCGGCTGTTTCTGGGTTTTGACGACTGTGAATAAAGCCTCCGTGAACCTGTGTGTGCGCAGCTTTTGTGGGCCATATGCATTGTTTTTTGTTTTTAAGACACATGCTCAGGAGCGGAGCTGCCGGGTCCTGGAGTAGACATGTCTATCTTGGTCAGAAACCGCCTCCCTGTCTTGGTGGTGGCGCCAAGACACGGTCCCCCAGCCTCACGGCGCAGGGGCGTTGCAGGCCCTCCGCGTCTCCTGCAGAACGTGGCCGGTCTCTTTAATGATCACCGGTCCGGTGGGCGTGATGTGACAGGGCGTTGTGGTCACTCACGTGCCAGGCGTTAGGGACCTGTCACCTCCTCAGGAGGCTGGCCCCTGGCCCCCGGCCGGGTTAGGCGACCTCCAGTGGGCCCCGCCGCCCCCACGCGTGCCGCCCGGTGGCATGACCTGCGGTCACATCGCGATGGCCTGCTGAGTCTTCCGCTGGTCTGTGAGCTCCCTGTGGACTGCAGGGGGCTCTTATTAACTGCTAAGGCCCCGTGGTACAGCTCAGGTCGGGGGCAGGAAAGGCACTAAAATACCTGCTGGGAAGAAAGGAAGGCGGGAGGGAAGACGGGAAAAGAGGGAGAGACAGAGGAAGGGGGAGGGGGGATGGAGGGAGAGGGGGAGCCAGGCCGGGCGGGCGCGGTGTGAGCGCAGCGGGGCCCTCCTGCCACCTGCGCACACAGACACACGATCCCGTGGGAGCTGGCGCCCAGCGCCGCCGTGTGTAAGCAGAGCCTGCCCCTTCTGGGATGGCCCCCTCTCCCGACGCTGGCCCACACCTTCCCGTGGAAACCCAAGATCCAGCCTGGGACAGGAGTTGGCAGATGTCTGTGAAAAGGGCCGTCTGCCTTTGCCGATGAGGATTCTCCAGACAATGGGACGACCTCGGCCGGGAATTCCCACCGGGCTCCCAACAGGACACTCTGACAGGCCTGGGTCAGAGCCCCCCCACCCCCCGCCGTGTAGGGTCCCATCTGAGGGCTGGGGGTTCCCGCTCCCCCTGGGCTCCCCGGGAACCAGCTCCCCATCTCACTCAAACCCGTGGCCCCTGCTCTGGCAGATCTTTCTCCAGAGACCCTGAGCTGGGGGTGTTGGTGCTGCTGACGCAGCCCGACCCGTCTGGGCCTGGACCACGGGGGTCTGAGGAGCCGAGGCCCGGGGGGCTGGGCGTGTGGGGCCGGGGCACACGGCGATGACCGTGCACGATCAGGGCTCAGAGACGGACAGCCCCGAGTGCAGGTTCCCTCCAGTGCCCCGTTGGGAGGAGGCCGCACGGAAGCCAAGGAGTTGAACGAGGCAGCGCCTGTCGGGGTGGGAGCCGCACGCAATGATGGCTTGGGGTTCGAGGCAGCGTTTGGGCGCCTACAGCAGTGGGACGCTGGGCAAGTCTCGTCTGGGCCCCGGTTCTTGTGTGTGTAAAACGGGTTCGTATCAGTCCACACCCAAGTTCGTGGTGTGGATCGAGAGAGGTGGGACCACGCGGCACGCGGCGGCCCCTGCGAGCGTCACGTCCGGGGCCAGCAGCAGCCGCTCCAGACACGGGCGCCGGGGGCGGCCGCTTCTCCGTGAGCCCCGAATCATTTCAGAACGTACGGTGGAGCCAAAAACGGAGGGAAAAAGACAAAGAGAAGGAAAAATCGGCATCACGCCGCTCAGGCTCCGAGCGATTCGGCCGGGGCTGCGCCTCGGCTGGATCTGGGGTCCTTCCTGGTGAAGGGTAGAGACGGGGACCTGGAGGTGGGGCCGCACGGGAAGCCCGACTGGGGAGAGGGCGCCTCAGGGGGCAGAGTGCTGGGATTCACCTCGCTCTCCCCAGCGCCGGGAAGGGGCCCTGAACTTTCCCCACGGTGTGCCCCTGGGATCCCTTATCCTGTGAGGCTCTCTCCCCAGAAAGGTCCCTCGGGCAGGTAAGTTTGAGAAAGGTGGCGGGTGCTGTCTGCCGTCGGGTAGTCGCACCGCATTGTAATAAACACGTTTATCCAGCGTCTCCAAGGAGTCCCGGGGTGACCGCACAGCGAGGTGGGGCATTTTATTCCCCAGAAATTCTCGAGACTCCCTTACAACAGACGTAACTGGAGCGTGAGACACCGTGGCTTCCGTGCAGAGTCAGCGAGGCCCGGGGCACGGACGTCCCAGGCCCTCTGGCCCTCCAGGGACAAGTTCCACGGTCGATTCCAGGAGAGGCGCGGGGAGAAGGCAGTGACGGACCCGCCTTGAGGAGATGCTGACGAGGTCACGTGAGAGGGCGTTTGCGAAGCACTTGGAATGCCCGGGACGCTCAGTGGTGAGCCAGACTCAGATGTCCTGGTGTCTGGATGACAATTGGGGACCTTCCTTTTCCCCTTTCTCCTCTCGGTGGCCACCCCATCAGCAGGACAGGCCCTTGGGGGCCCTGGTGACGGTGACGGTGGGCTTGACCAAGCCGCGTTTCTCATCGGTCAGGCCTGACGGCTCATGGCTCCCCCGAGTACCGGGCCTGCCTACTGCTGTGCTTCTCCCAACCTCCCCTTCTGCCCCTGCCACCCTGCCAGGCCCCACGTCAGCCCCCCGCCCCTCCGCCGGTGCGATGTCCACAGGGTTTCGGATAAGCCACTCAGCAGCCCCCAGTGTCAGATGCCTTTGCTCCCCACTGTTTACGGCTGCTGGCCAAAGTCGCCCAGCTGTGTACAGAGCTACACATCATCACATAAAAAAGTGACACAATCAAAAGCACTCGGGGCCCTCTGAGTTCCTTCACGAGACCCCATCACAGATGTAGGTTCGAATACGGCCCATCCGAACCTCTTGGCCTGTGCGTCTCAAGCTAGTAAAATTGTTAAAACCCCAGAGTTATGGCTGTAACTCTGACGGGTCCCTTTACCAGCTGAGATCTCGAATTTCAAACCATGTGGCTCCTGGTTTGCTGCGGGTAAATCTTCTTTAAACCCCGAGCTCGTGGGTCCCGTCATCTCTGTCTCGTTAATGAGACCTGCGGGAAGGTCGGAGTTGGCTCGGCGGGCGTCGTCGGCGCGTATGTCACCGCACAGTCCGCCAGCTGGCCGCCGATCGCATTATCAGAGGGCTTGTTACATATTACGGACATATCTCGTCATCCACGATGTCCTGCAACCTCTCAATCTTTGTTAGCTCCCTGATTTCATTTCAAACCTCCGCATTTCTGCAGGAATCGGCTGGTGGACTCACACGCTAAAATATGTCTTCTCTTTTATCTTTCGACCCCATGTCCAGGACCTCCCCAAATGGCCTTTATTCACCGACAAAGCAGACCACTTCCCCCTTTTAACAGGGAACAGTGTTTGCTGAGAAATGAAATGATTTTGTCTATGAATTTCAGCTATCTTCCATTTTCCTCGACCTAATCGAATGAGCAGATGCTTTATCTGCAGCAGCTCACGGCAGAGTGGGCGCAGGCTCCCAAATTGCCGCCGTGCCAAATGCATTTTGCTTCTTTAATGTTTTCTGATCGTTTCCAGAGCTGCTTTTGTCCTGAGAAGCTCCGTGGGTTATGGGTGACTCTTCTCGATAACTGAATTTTTCTTCCCAGGATGGCGAGCAGCAGTGACATAAAACATTGTCCTCCTACAGAGTTGTATTCCAGCCATCGGGAACGTGAGGGAGAATGCCGTAATCTGCCTTGTACTTTTTGCCCACAGAGGGAAAATTTTGGTGCCCACGGCCTACCATTTATTTCTCGAATTTCCAACCCTGTGCTGGATTCTGACCGAAAACGGTATCATTCTCTGAATCCGCGTTGATCCCAGATGTACCCCGATTAATTATTGATGATAAGGAAACCCGCTCCTGGGCTGGGCTGGACGCCGTAGGAAAACGGAACGTTTTTGGGGAGAGGGAGGTGGAGACATGGCGGGCTAAGCCGGGATCGCTGGAGGTGGTGGGGATGTCACTGCGGCTGAGTTTCATGCAATGTCATGGCTGTTTCGATTTCTCCGTCCATGAAGAATCGGCCGTGTGCACACTCCCACGGAGGAAAGAGAAGCTTGGCTTGAGTTTTGTAATTTACAGAGCTGACGTGAAGTGGTTTTGGTGGTTTTATCACATTTCTGACAATTTGGGGGTGGGTGGGAGGAAGGGGTTCCCTCCAGGCAATGGCGGGGTGTATTGTGCTGGTTTTATCTCTATCCTCTCTAGCTGACAGAAGAGGCGGCCAGGCTCAGGTCCTCGAGGGCTGGGACTTCACCGTGTAGGTGACGAGCAAGTCAGAATGGTCCCCTCGGCGGCCGTTCAGGCTCCAGCTGTTCAAGGCCTGGGGCGTCGAGGGGCTTTGAGCTGGGACAGGCGAAGCCTGGCATGGTGGTCCCACAACCAAGGCACGGTGTCTGGGGTTGACCCTGGAGTTTGGCACCACGTTGAGTGGGAGTTGGGGGGTTGTCGCCAGCTGTGTCTCCCCACCTGGGCTGACCCCTCTAGGGGTCTGTCCCAGGGTCATCGAGGGGCGTGGGATGGGGACCTGCGGTCACTTTGGGATCTCCCGCCTGATAACAGCACAGACTTGGTTCACCAGAGGGAATCCTAGAAACTCAGTCCGCCCGGAGCGTGGCGACCCTGCTTACACGCTGTGGCTCGCCACAGGCTCAGGCTCTGGGACCCTCACGGCGGGGACCACGCGGTGTAGTCACAGGGCTGGGGGTGCTTTTTTATGTTTGCAAAATTGAGACACTTTAGTGGCCGGAGGCAAAGCTACTGTCCCTTCCTTCCCCAACTTGCCCGCACTCTGGGGAGGGGGGAGGTGCTAGAGAGGCCGCCCACGTCACCCCCACCTCGGTGAGGGGACAGTAGGCTGGCTGGGGTGTGTTTGCGTGGTTCCCGTCACTTCCCTAGAGGGTCGGGTGTTGCAGTAGGCTGGCTGGGGTGTGTTTGCGTGGTTCCCGTCACTTCTCTAGAGGGTCGGGTGTCGCTGGCTTCAGGCTCAGGCTGGCTTCCAGGGGTGCACCTGCTTTGTCCTGTGAAAGGGTAGGGCTGAGTCCTGCTGTGAAGTGAGCCCATCTTGTGGGTGGGCAGA